AGCTGTCTCATTTGTCAATCAGATCAGTTTTCAGAGAGAGACCACATGCACGTATCTTTTATTACTCTATGTTGTTATAACTGTTCTATTGTTGTTACTCTCTTACTGTGCCTAATTTATAAATTAAACTTCATTATAAGTAGGTATGGATAGGAAAAAACATAGTATATATAGGGTTCAGTACTATTTGCAGTTTCAGGCCTCCACTGGGGGTCTTGACCTGTCCCCGCTGTGGATAAGGGGGGACTGCTGAGTTGATACTTGCTTCAGTCAGCCTGGTTCCTCCTTTCTCTCTCCCAGTTTCCTTATTCCTAATTTAGGCCTTTGTTACTGTTGCTAGCACACTTTGTCTCTATCTCAGCCCTCTTGTCTTCAAGATTTCCTTCTCCTCTCTTCCTAAAGTCTGCACTGCACCCTTCCTTCCTGCTGCCGCCATTGTGGGTGGCCCTGACCGGTCCTGGTACTGGATCACGTGTGTTATTGTGCTGTGTGTGACCTGCAGAACAGACCCTGTTAGTGCACACCCCTGACGGCATTGTTTTGTGTTTGTCTTCTATGTTGTTTCAACCATCCTAATAATTTTTAGGCCACTTTAGTTCCTGAACTTATCTGCAGCTAAGGTGATAGCTGGTCCCAGTTTGCCCATCACTGCCCTGGCTTTAGTGCTAGAAGGCCTCCCAGTCTCAGGCGGTCTGGGACAGTCAGGACCATATGTGTAGCCATGATTGAGTTTGGGCCTAAACACATTCCATAGGTTAATTAGTCAGTGCGCACAGTGAGGCTTTGTCCTAAACTGTTTTCCAAGCTAAAATTTATGAGAAAAATCATTTTTATTCATCAAGCAGATTGACTTTCTAAATGTGTAAGGTATGATGAAAGACAGTATGACATGGTTTTTTGGTTCTTGGGGAGTGAAAAACTTTCCCAGCTGTACCATTTGGAGATGTCTTCAAGGGTCTTGAGAAAATAAACTTTAATGATTCCTTGATTCCTTCCCAGGTTGTTGTAGAAACGCTTTGCCCCTCGTCTTCTAATGTAACTAGCTCTACTATGGCATTTTTGCTTACCCCACAGTGAAGCTAAGTCCCTAGTTCTTTGTCTTCAATGAGGCCTCCCTGTGGCTTTCCCCAGTGGTGTGCTAGGAAGTGCTTGGTGGTGAGAGCCCTGCCACCATGGTGGAGTGCAGACTGTTAACCTGGTGGCATTGGGCACGGAGCTGGGCCAGGCGAGCTGTCAGCGCACCACCGGGCTGCCGCCTAGAAAGCCCAGGAGTCCAGTCTCCTTGAAAGCTTCCGGGTCTGGGGAGTTTTGGAGCTTTTGTTACCATGTTTCCTCTTCAAGGTCTTTAACTGAAAATGTAGCAATAACTCTCAGTGCTCTATCTGCGGGATCTAACCTCTCTAGGAAGAGGACACTCTGTATCTTTTATCTTTCCTGTCTATCTGCTAGTTTTCCCCTTCCCACAGTACTGTGCAGTACATGGCAGTAGCTTAGGACCGGCGACTCCTTTTTTTCCTTAAGAGTTCTGAGCAGAAAGCTGTTCTGTGAGTAGAGAGCCACGCTACGTGATCTAAAGTTTTTAAAGACTGGTTCTGTGTGAACAAAATTTGGTGTTATCAGATACAACTTGAGTCAGGTTAACTTGACACTTACTTAATGATATGCTTATAATAATGAGACCCAATTGTAGCATCTACCCATAAATACCCTCCGTTTCTTCTTCCCCTCTACTCCTCCCTCCTTCTCTGTCCCGTTCTTTCTCTCCCAGGGGCCCATTTCCAGTCTCCACTCCAAGAAAAAGCTGTGTGACAATTTTCCCTAAAAGACTATGGCCCAGAGAGTCCCTCTTTTATTTTTTGTTGTTTATTGTCCATTCTTCAGTAGTTTTATTTTAAATGAATTTGGATTTATACAAGAATATAGGCAGTGAACACATACTCTTCACCCAGCTCCTCCTAATGTTAATACCTTATAACCTTGATAAATTTGGCTAAACTGAGAAATTAACAATGATATTAACTACACTGCAAGTTGTACTCACATTTCTCTAGTTCTTTCACTAACGGCCAGTATCTGTTCCAGTATCCCATACTGCATTTAGTCATCGCGTCTCCTTAGGCTCTTCAGTCTGTGATAATTTCTCCCTCTTTACTGATGGACTGATGAATTCTTTCATGTTGGCTCCTGTACCCGTTTGAAATGCCATTTCCACCCCCTCTCTTCTCCCTTACTCTCTGAACCTCCCCGCTTCCTTTCTGCACCCCTGCTCTCTTCCTTTCTGTACCCCCTCTTCTGTCTGTGCCCCCTTCCTTCCTTTCTGCTCTGGAGTCAGCCATTTCTGCAGGGAGCCCGCGTCCCTTATTGGAGCATGGCACTTAACTACCGTGACCTGCATGTGAATGTGCTTTGCTGCTGCAGTGTCACCTCTTCAGGCCTGTTCATGGGACAGAGTGGGAAATATCCATGTGCACACTAACCCGTGTGCACACACATCGCTTCTTGTTTCTGGGTCTCCATCTGGATGTGTGTCATGATGAACCTGAGTTCATACGGACATCTCAGACTCTATTGTAGTCCCCCAGCTCGTTCATAGCGTGGGGGTTTGTGTTGCTTTTCCCGGTGGAGTGTGGGTAGTGGGAGCGGTCAGGCTGGCTTTCCAGCTTACCTTCTGATGAGCATGTCAGCTCCCTGGGGAGAAAGTCATAGACACGTCCTGGGGGCAGGTGTGGGTCCTCGTCACTGCCAAGTGGCCCCCAGAGCTCTCAGAGCCCCGCACCACTGAAGGCCGAAAAAACCTGCCCTCTGACAAGACATAGTGCGTGCTGCTTCTCAGCCTTGTTTCACATGTTAAGAGATGTCCTTTAGATGACCATCTCCAGCTAGCACAGAGATCGGCAAACATTCTCTGTGAAGTACCAGCCAGTAAATGTTTCAGACTTTGGGGGCGGGCCGTAAGGCTTCTGTCACGAGTCCTCAGCTCTGCCTTTGTCCCGTGAAAGCAGTCATAGATGAATGAGCATGGCTGTGTTTCTGTCCCATTGTATTTACACCAACCAGGGGTTCTGGATCTGGCCCACGGGCTGTGGTCCTCAACCCCTGGACCCGTTAATTGCAATCTTCTCCTTTTACCTGTGCTGTTCTCACTGCTTTCCTGGGCTTGGCGAGTTTACGTTTGGGTCATTGTCAGAGGATCGGGCTGCGGGAGAAGGAAGGCTGTCCCTGTGTGCACATCATTAATGCAGTTAGCTGATGGTGCTGGTGGGGCTGTGGTGTCCGGTCCTACCAGCCCTCCGTCTCCTGTCCGTCCGTCTACCCCCGTCTCAGGAACCTGAAAACCCAGCATGGTGTTTTCTTTTTCTTAAAGGAACTTCTATGTAAGTATAGGCACGTAAGAAATATGTATGAATCATAGGTGTCACAACTGGGTGAATTTTTGTAGTCTGTTTGGATGAGTTTGCTAGTCAAAAAAACAGTGGCCAAGCATGCAGGATGTCGCTTATGCCCTGTGGGCCAGTGGTTTGGGATAAGGACATCACTGTCACAGCAGAGGGCCCTTTGCCTGCCTGCACTGGGAGTAATGAATTTAGTGTGTTACCAGGGGCCTCTTATAACTGGTAGCTAAGATTTCCTGGTGAGAAGAGAGGGTTGAATATTCAATAGCCCAGGTTCTGTTGTGGGAGTTGGTAAACATCGTGTTCAAGGAACTGGAGAAGATTTCACTTTTACGTATTTGAATTATTTGATGAGTTTCAAGGTATATTTTTCTCATTGTTAATTTTTTCTCAGAATGCAGTGAAGACTGGTACTTTGACTCTTTCATTCAATATTGGTGCTTGCTATATCTTAGAACGTTTAATTTTATAAAAGTATAGAGAAACAAGTTTTGGATTTGAAATCAGAATACTTGCTTTTAAGTTCCAAATTTACTTCTCACTGTTTAAAAAATCTTAGCAAAGTGAGTGATACAGCCTCTTTGGGTCCAAGCCTCTTATCTGCCTTTCTTACCATGCGGGTTGTTGAAGGAATCAGAGAGGAAAAACGCTGAGAAACTCCCCCTGGGAGACCCCACAGCTCTCTGCGAGTGTGAGGCACGCAGCGGCAGTCCTGTGCCTGTTTTTTCACGTACATTTGCTCAGAGTACATTTGCTCAGACGGTTCTTTCCGAGCCCCCCAGCTGTTTGGCCACATGACATGACTGGTTTCTGTTCTGCCTGGACCAGCTTCTGTTAAGGTTGTGGTTGTTTGGTGAGGCAGCAGTAATAAAGGACTTCATTCGTTCAAATGTTCGCTCCCTTAACAGGCCCGAACCCTACCAGTGACCCTGGAGATGGGCTGCTTAAAAATGTCTCTGGGTCTAGCTGAGACTTTGAAATTAAGGATTAATGATGACTAAGCTTTAAACAAATTATAGAAAATTTGTCTTTTCAAAGGACATTGTAACTTTTGTGTTCTTGTATCCTTTAATCTTTCCTTTTAACTCTAAAACTATTTTAAAGTTTTATCACCAAGTTATAATTTGAGTGCAGAGGGAAACTCAGTTTGGCTTTGTGGAATATACTTAAAATAAGTAGAATGCATTATTAATTTTGAACTTAAAAGCTGCACTGTTCTCATCCCTTACAAAAAGAACTGAAGACATTGGTCTGGGAGATCTAGTCATATGTTAATAAAATACAGTATTCTATCATAGTGCTCCAGAGGAGAGGGCATAGGTTCCTTTAACAGAGGGAAGTGGTGCCACTTAGTGGAGAGTGCAGACCTGGGCTCAGCCTTTCCGCTTGAACCGGCTCAGGCCCTCGCCTCGTTTCTGTGTCTTAACAGACAGGGTGCGTGTTGTCACTGTAACTTCTGTGGGGATGAAAGTGCCCCTGGTTCTGATGGGCATCAGTGTTCCTTCTCACTGTCACCATCATGAAACAGTCCTTCTGGGTCACATGCTGACTGTGGACACTTCATAGTGTACTTGTAGCTCACACAAGGCTATTTTTCTGTTTTGAAAGGAGAAATCGTCGTAAACGAAGTCAATTTTGTGAGAAAATGCATCGCAGCGGACACAAGTCAGTACGATTTGTGGGGAAAGCTGGTCTGCAGTAACTTCAGAATTTCCTTCCTTACGGATGACCCAATGCCATTACAGGTGTGTCTTTGTATACTGTTGGATCCTGTCAGGCTTTTGACTCTGAGAGGTACCTATTGTTACATGAAAGCACGGGTATGGAAAATTATAATGCAGTGATTAATAAGTGATTAACATAATGTTTGGAATGTATTACAATTCAAAATAAAGTTTAAGGAGAATGTTGAGGCTTGAAGAGTAGAATTAGTGAGATGATTTTAAGTCACCTTTCTTTGTTTATCCTCCTCGATCATTGCTTATATACCCTTTTCAGTAAGGGAGTTGTTATTTCCTTTTTTCCAAACCTTTTAACCTGCCTATAAAAACAAAGATATCCTTTTTATTAATCATAAGGAGAAAAACTTAATTATTTAGCAAATAATCTTATAAATGCTGCATTTCTTTGCAAATTTCATAGTATTTTTAACTAATTTGTTCTTTTCCAAAAAAGTTAAATTCTAATTTCAAATTTCTACTACAGTTAGAGCGAAAAAAAGTATTGATAAAGGTTTTCTTTAGTAACTCTCTTACTATTTTATATTCTTACTGGGAAAAAAAGTTTCTTATAATTTTGTTTTTTTTAAACTTCAGACATTTGTTTAATTGACTTAAAAACCCCATGATTTGTCCTTAGCTCTTATTTTCTATTTTAATTTGTAAAGTGTTAAACACTTTTACTTCCTAGACCTTTACTTGTCATAATAATTGTCCTCTCATTAAATATTTGAATATTAACTGTAAACTTTTGACTGAAATGTCTATGGATAAGCATATTTCATGTAGTCTTCATTAATTTACCAGAATATTTACTGTGTATTTGTGTGTTTGTTGCGGTCTTCTGTAGGTAATTTAGACTAAATTTAAGGCATTTATAGGTACCTAATATGTAGACACACTAGTTCATTTGGCTGTAGACTATAGTTTTTCTCTTTGTTTTTAGCTTCATTTTGATAACGAGCCTTAGATTTCACTGTAAATGAGACACATATCCTTGGAATAGCTTAAATCTAACACTACTAATAGGAAAAATAAATCATTGTCCTACTGACAGCAAGTTAGCCATGTCAGCTCTGTCCTTAGTTTAAAAATGTGTATAAAGTGTTTGTTGACAGGTGAAGAAGATAAGCTGTAGTTTGCCTAAAGATTTTTATTTCTAGTAGACTTTCTGCTCCAAACAGAGTTGTTTTCTACCCTGAAACCTCTGCTGTGAAAATCAAGCCATGATTCCCCCATTAAAATCTGATGACCTAGGAATCCCTCTTTCTTTGTTATTTTAGTGACAGTTGAACTAGAACTAGGCATGCAAATGTTTGCCTGTAAAGTGACTGACAGTATTACATATCTTGGATATTATCATGATGTTGTAATGTGTTAATTTAACCTAATTTCATTTTTTAATGTGTGGGAGAAAAGATAGAGAGAAGGGGAACTATTTCTTTCTTTGTCCCCTTGCATTACTACTGAAGTGTGTTCCAAGATGCCACAGCCTTAGAATTGTCATAGCTGCAGAGGCAAAGCTTTTTGTTCATTTTAGATGGTTGTAATTTCTCATCACACCTAAAGGTAATATTACCATTGTGAGCTTACTGGGAAATGAATGAATGTGAACATATTTTGTGTTTCAGAAATTCCATTACAGAAACCTTCTTCTTGGTGAACATGATGTCCCTTTAACATGTATTGAGCAAATTGTCACAAGTACGTATTATTCTTTACTCAGCCCCTAAAAGCTGACTGTGCTCTGGAAAAATTGCTTGATGATAATCAAATACTTGGGTTGGAGTTGAATTCTGTAGGTTTTTTTCCAGGAACATAATGAATGAGAGAGGTCAAGAAATTATTTTAAAATGGAGATACAGAATGTATAACTCTTATATTTTCTAGCATTCGTCCTCTTTTAAATTAAAATGTTAATCATGAAATGTATCTAGATGGTGGTGGTTGTATGCAAAGCATCATTTAAAATATCTTCAGAAGCAAAGTCAGAACCGACTTCCCCAAGTTATACCGTGTTTCCCTGAAAATAAGACCAGGACTTATATAAATTTTTGCCCCAACAGTCTACATTTGTTCATTTATTCATGTACAAAAAAAATCTACATTTATTCAATCAGTTATGTGTGGCTAACGATCTTAACTGGGGCTTATGTTTGGGGTAGGGCTTATATTACGAGCATCCTGAAAAATCATGCTAGGGCTTATTTTCTGGTTAGGTCTTATTTTAGGGGAAACAGTAGGGATCACAGACAGTGTGAGCCCCAGAGAAGCGGTGCTCGGGGGTGGGTGGCCTTCCACTGTTACTAGTCAGAGTTTGTTAAAGCACTAGCGAGTGAGTGACAAAAATGTTTACACATTTTCATTTTTTCTTTATTTTTTTCATTTTTAGTAAATGACCACAAGAGGAAGCAGAAAGTCCTAGGCCCCAACCAGAAACTGAAATTTAATCCAACTGAGTTAATTATTTATTGTAAAGATTTCAGAATTGTCAGATTTCGCTTTGATGAATCAGGTCCTGAAAGTGCCAAAAAGGTAATACTTTTTTTGTTGTTGTTAAATTTTATCAGGTTCTGGGTTTTGCACTATACTTAGCAATTTCAGTTCTGTATGGAATTTCTCATTTCTTAATTGCTCAGATTTTTTTGTTTTTAGAGAAAGTTATCCATTACCTCCTTAAGCAAAGTCAAAGCCAAGGATGTTAATAGAATTCTTTCCTCCGCCTAGTTTATGGCTGCTTTAAAATAGTCTATATAATTTTTTTATTAGCTCTTAAAATATGAAAACCTATCATGTGGAGATTAGTATATCTTTTACATTAAGACCATTACCAGCTGGTTTCTGCCTTGGTTAAAAGATTGAAAAAATGGAGATACATTGAAATTGAGGTTTGTTGAGATTTAATTCAGTACCTCAGAACTTTACCAACAAACTAAAAGTTAGCCTTAGGTTACATAGGGTTAAGCAAATACATAGTTATGCGAGGGGCCTAATAATTATTAATGCTTTAAAGAAATCTTAATTAATCTAAGTGATATTCTACAGGGGCGCTAAAAGCTAGGGGCTTTTTAATTGGCTGTTTCCCCACTCTCTGTGAATGTTTGTTGCCTATTGGTGGAGTAAGATTCAAGGGCAGAAACCCCCCTGTGAAGCCACGTTCTGGCTTCAGCAGAGGAGTCAAGCCGGTGGGCCTCATGTCCCTGGTCCAGTCCATGGTGCCGCAAACGCAGAGAATAATAACGCAGTTGCCAGGAGAAGCCTGTTTCCATATATTGAGACTAAATGAACCAGTGCCTCAGGGAAATGGGAAGTTGTTTTCTCACAAGTGAGTCAGCTTTTGCACCACCAAAATCTGGGTGCGTTTGTTTTCCATGATCAGTACACTTACAGTAGTAAATTTCCTGTTGCTATCAAAATGAGGCTGTCAAAATGACCTTAAGGCAGCTGCCTGCATATCCTTTGGTGAGGAGGGGGTAGGTTTATTTTTAGAACTAGAAGCAACAGTTTCTTCACAGGAAGGAGGGAGCATGAGATGACTATCTGAAAATGCATGACCACTGGGACTGGGGTATCCAGCAGAGGGAGGAGGGAATCTGTGGATACAGGTTTTCAAGTGGAGTCTATGACCACCTTTCGGCATGCTACATTGTTGGAAATTCAACTACATAACTTTGAAAGACCCCTTTTAGCTGTTCAGTTCTGCAGTTTGTGATTTTGGCATTTTACTAATTTGACATGCCTGTTCTTCTATAGAAAGACTTTAGAATTAACTATATACTGTGTTTTCCCGAATATAAGACCTAGCTGGAGAAGAAGCCATAGCATGATTCTTCCAGAATATGGAGGGCACGCACCCCTCACATGAGGAATTTATGACCTGCTTCAGGGGGAAGGGTGCCTTTTCCACAAACTCCTTTAGCTTAAAATATTAAGCATGCTAAGGTGCCATATTTTGGCACCTAAAATCATGCTGTAGCTTATTTTCTGGCTAGGTCTTATTTTCGGGGAAACAGGGTAGTAGGCTGTATATAAAATATTTTAGCCAAGCTACTTGCTTGAACTTAAATGTACACTTGTAATTTAGTCGATCAAAGCACCAAGAATCTGTTCATGAAAACCCTTTTTCAGAATAGGGACCCCACAGAATTTACGAGATTGAGTTAGGAGAGGGTGCTTTTTAAGTAAGGACTTGATACAGTGGCCCAATAGTCTTTCAGAAAGGTTACGTCTCTCCCACTCTCCACTGTGTTTTTCAGATAACATTATTTCAGTAATTGCAAATCATAATTGGTTCTTGAGCCATCTAGATGACTTGTTGGTCATATTTGATGTCTGAGGCAGTATGCTAAGTTTAGTTAAGAAAGCATGAACAAATGAAAATTAAATAGCAGTACAAAGTAGCAACAGAAAAGATGTTTCCACATAAATGGTTAGTTGCCAGATGAATGAAACTGACATGAAGTGCTCTGGAAATCCAGTGACCCTTGTCTTGTGCTGCTGTAAGTGATGAGGGGGTACATTGAACTGTACACGGGATGGCCTTTTAATGCCCTTTCCCAAGACCAAGTTTCTGGCAAAAATTCTTTCCCCATGGTCTTAAAATACAGAAAGAATGTTACCGCAAAGCCAAAAGAGATACTCTTTTTTTGGCTTTTGTGTAGTCATAAGGCGGGAAATTCAGGAAAAAACATACAGACAATAAGAATATAAATAGAAAAAATTTCCCCTGATTTGCATGTTTACAAATGCAGAGGGTTACATCATACGTGGCTGTCAAAGCTTAATGCTTTCTTAAGTTAAAAGTAAAAATTGTAGCATACTCTTTTATTTCATGGGAAAGTTTTCATCTAAAAGTAGTTAACAATTGGGACGCTACTGCTTGATTTTACCTCCTGGAAACTTTGCACGCTCAATTTTGTCTGGAAATGCTTTGATTTTTAAGTTGTTTTAAAGTGACCAGCTGTATGTTCATGTTCAGCGTTTTAACCATTGATTAATTTTGAAATACTGAAAGCTTTTATATTTCTGTTTGAACTAGGAAATCTTAAAATGCTAAATTGGTTCACATTTTGTTAAATATTGCTCTAAAGCCTTCTGATAGTCTAGCTGCTGTTGCCTAAATTGTGTTATGACAAAATTAGGTGACTTTGTGCCACTGCGTCATTAGCATTTGTCCTCATTGTCCTTGGGCTGTAAGTAAAGATATTTGGGAAAGGTCCCAAAAGGAATTTGATAATGCAGAATTGGACCTCTAGCCTCAAAGCAATTTTGGGCCATCATTTCCTTTTGCTAATGCATTGGCCGGGAATCAAACCCAGGTCTTCCACGTGGGAGCCGAGAATTCTACCACTGAACTACCGATATTCCCCCATCATTTATTTCCTTTTGAAGAACCTTTGCTCAAATCTGAGGGTTAAAAAAATAGATTGTTTTTAATGAATTTATCACTTGTAAAATATATATATATATCTAGGTCTAGATCTAGATCTAGATATAAGGATGGTAAGTGAAAAATGTATCCTTTGTTTCCATTTTATTCTCAAATGAATTGGTTGTGAACCACTTGCTCAGCCATACTTTCTAGAAGTGAAAATTCAGCTATCTATTTAAAGAGCAGTTGACCTCCTCTGAACTGTCATTTTTGCCTTAAACCTGAGACTTACTCCTTGGTGACTTTCAGACCACAGACATGTAGGAAGGCAGTGTTGGTTGCCAGAGCGCTAGGACTCCATGAGGTTTGAGCTCCCCCAGTGTTGCACCCCGAGCTGGTCTTAGAGGAAAAGCCACCAACTCTGGGTCATTCTGGCTTCTGCCCAGACAAGGATATCAGCCTTAGTCCCCAAATCACTTCAAAAGTAGTTTAGTTTTTTTCCTGCAATAAAATATTTACCACCATTTAATGTCTTTAGTATCAAGAGTTTCTTTATTTCCTGTTATAACCAGGGCAAATGAACTACTTCAGAGGCAGTTTTTAAAGATGTAGGGTTTTTCTAAAAAAAAAAAGAATGCTTAGGGAGTACCTTACAAAATTAGAATAATTTTACATGAAAATGAGACCTACTTTTTTAAGCCTTTCAAACATAGTAAGCAGGGAGGAATGTAGTCTGAGGCTTTTTAAATGGAGTGTATGAAAAAGCTCAAGGAAGAGGGCTCCTGACTTGCTTTCTCTTCTCGGAATGTGCTAGAATGACAACATGAATGTCACCCAAGTAGCACAGTGGTATGTGCCTTTGTCTGGGTTCCCAAAGGCACCCCTTACTCAGGTTAAACACACTTGTAATTCTGCCCAACAACTTTAGTTCACCTTGTGCCCTGCCCCCCCCCCCAAATCAACCATCATGCAAGTGATTAAACTGAGTTTCAGTTTTACAGTATTTTTATAGTCTTATTTAAATGTAGATGTTATTAGATGGACTCATTTGTTTCCCGACCTTTATAAATGTGATGTTGTGCTATTTTGAAGAGCTCTTTAGAAATGAGCTAGGTTGGGTTTTGCCTAGCAGAGAGGCTCTGCTTGTTTTTGCTTTGTGGCCATAAAAAACACACTCTCATCAGTGATATGTGACTTTCTTTCGTGTAAACAAGGCCCATGACTGCTTTCTAACTGTCTCAGAGAAAGTGATATACTAGTATTCTAGGCTTGGAGCATTTTTCTTATTATATTAGCAACTAATTTCCTCAATTAAGCACAAAGCAGAAAGCTACTGAAATCTACCAAAGAGATGGCAAGAATGCAAGGGTCCTCGCGCCTTTCCAAGGGTCTGCACCGAGATCTTTCCTGGTGTCCTTCTCCGAATATTAACTGACTCTCTTCCTCCCTGACTGTAACACTTGAGACTTGAGTTCCCTTCTGCTGGACCGTCCCCTTCCTCTAGCGCTTGTGATTACCTAACTTGCTGTAGTTTTTCCTGTTTATCTTGTTAAATGTCTGTCTTCCCCACTCGAATGTAAGCTTCATGAGGATGGGTGTGTCTGCTTTGCTCACTTCAGCATCCCCAGGGCTTAGGGCATGGTGGAGGCTCTGGGTGAGTGAGAGATGGGGTCTGCCCTGGAGGAATTGAACTTAAAGATGCAAGTCCCACTTCTTATCTGCACTCATAACTGTCACGTGAATGCCTTGACAGTACAGCTACATAAGCACAGGTAACTAAAGAACAGTTTCTATTGGAACTGCTGTTATCCCAAGAAAACAGAAGGGTTTCTGCAGTTAGCACTGTGACATTGCCTGGGTCTAGGAAGGCCTGTGAACAGAGATGACAGATGAGAGAAAGCCTGCCCGGCTGAGCAGTGGCCAAGGAGGTCCCAAAAAGTGTGGGAGCCAGTGGCTGGGACTGAGGCAGATGCATGTGTGCAGGCAGGTTCTTCTCTGCCCAGAGACCACTGAGGGGGTATTGGGAAGGCAAGGGATGCCTGGTAGAGGAGGGCCAGTTTGGGGAAGAATCAAGAATATGAAGATTTAATTTATTATGCAGGTCCCTGGGAGCCTCAGCAGCTTACCCAGAGAGCAAAGTTGGTCAGAATTTCATCTTTAGAAGAGCATTCTTAAGGGTGATGGATTTTTTTAGAAGGTAGGGAAGCCCACAGAGGTGCCGTAGATGAGTGTGACTTAGGACGTGGCTCCGGTGGTGCAGAGAAATGGGACCAAAAGGGAAATAATCATGGTGCCTGAGGGACAGTAAGTGGTGGGGACCGTTTTAGGGTGCGGGTTTCAGTACCGTATTTGCCGGCGTATAAGACGACTGGGCGTATAAGACGACCCCCTAACATTTCCACTCAAAATACAGAGTTTGTTATATACTCGCCGNATTTTTTTAATCTTTGTAGTGGAAATTTGATTTTCAACAGTGTTTTTCCCTTTCTCTTTTCAGGGCGTTTCTGAAACATTCAGCAGAACTTGTGTATATGCTGGAAAGCAAGCGTGTCTCTGTGGTCCTCCAAGGTAATTCATGACTGCAAACACGGGGCACCATGCCGGCCAGCTTGGTGACTGTCTACATTCAAGTAAATTTCCTTAATCTCAGCCGTTTCTTTATACTACCACTAAATACACTCCAGGTTTTGTACATCGTTAAAAAAAAACAAAACGGTGGCACAAAGACTGCAAGCAGGAGAACAGAAAGGAGCCCAGTTTTGTGCCCACCCTTTATCCTTCCCTCCTGTATTGCGGGGAGATGGGTCACAGCCCTTACTGGATTCATACCAAGTATTCACCTTGGCAGAGCACCCTTTGTCTCTTCTCTTGCTATCTTTCTGATCATGCAGATTTTAGTTCAAAGGCCTCTGGCTCGTGCTCGATTGTGACTCTAAAGAAAGTTTGATATCGAGAATCTGACTAAATTAAATAGCCAATAATGTGAATTTTGTCTGGTAGGAACAAATTGCAATATAAAATCTTTCATGTAAGCAAAGGATAGTTGTATATTAAATAACTTTACGGCCGATAGATTGTCTAAGCTTACAGACCAGGTTTAATAAACCATTAACTACCTGATTGTACAATAAATTCACGTTGTATAGTATATGAATATACGGTCCTATTGCGGCTTACAGGAGTATTTTTACCGCCTCAAGTTCAAGTGACTTTAATAAGGTAAAGACATTGAAAACCCTTAGGGGCAGAAACAGAACAGCAGCGCACTGTATGAAATCACTGTGAACTGACACAGAGGGTATTGAATTCACAAGTGCGGCAGGGCCGGGCAGGGCAGGGATCGCTCCTCTTCCTCCCAGTGGGCGTCGTCACCCCGCGTGGTTCTGCTCTGCACATTTCCTCATGCGTTGGTCATGACACTGAAGGTCTCAGAGGAGACACTGAGCCTGTACTTCACTAGCACAGCCTTACAGATTGTTTCTAAACAATGTATTGAGGTTTAACTTACGTATTATAAAGTTTAACCATTCTGAATGTATTAATACAAATCAGTAATTTTTTGTAAATATACGGAATCCAATTTTAGGAATTTTCTGTTACCCCAAAAAGATTCTTTGTGTCCCAGCCCTAGGCAACCACTAAACTAATGTCTGCCTCTAGATTTGCTTTTTCTGGATGTTTCATAAAATGGAGTTATACAATATGTGGTCTGTTGCCTGAGCTTCTTTCATTTAATATTCATGTTTTTTGAGGTTTAGTCATGCAGCATGTGTCAGCAGTTTGTTCCTTTTTATTTCTGAATGGCATTCCATTGTTTGTAAATACCACAGTTTACTGGGATTTTGATAGGAATATGTTGACCCCATAAAGTTGAGGAGAATGCCATCTTACTATCGAATCTGCCAATCCATGAAATAAATGACTCTCTATTTACTGGGATTTCCCTTCATTTTATCAGCAGTGTTTTATAGTTCTTAGTTTCCAAGTCCTACACTTACTTTGTTATGTCTCTTCTTAAGTATTTTATTTTGAAGATATTGTGAGTACAATTATGTTCTTAATTTCAGTTCTGGTTTGTTGTGTACTCAGGTGGTTGTGTATAGAATTTTCTGTGACTGAACTGACTCGTGTTAGATTAAGTAGTTATTTTGTGGGTTCCTTAGGGTTTCCTGCATATAGAATCGTGTCTGCAGATATAGTTACTGCCTTTCTGACGGGGGTGCCTTTGATTTCTTTTTCTGGCCTTGTTTCCAGTACAGTGTGGAATACAAGTGGCGAGAGCAAACATCCTCGTCTTGTTCCTGATCTCAAAGGAAAGCAGCCAGCCTTTTGTAATAAGAGTGATGCTAGTTGTAGGTTTCTGTAGATTCCTTTTATCAGGTTGAGGTTCCCTTTCTATTCCTAGTTTGTTGAGAGTTTTGATCCAGAATGAATGTTGGATTTTCATCACATAGGTGCTTGCTGTGCATCTAAGGGGATGGCCATGTTGTTTTTGTCCTTTATTTTATTAATGTGTATGTTATTTTAATTGATTGTCAGCTGTTAAGCCAACCTTGCATTCCTGGGATAAATTCATGCATTCCTGAGGTAATTTGGTTTGCTTGTATTTTGTTGCTGACTTTTACAACTAATCATAAGGGACATGGGTCAGTAGGTTTCTTTTGATTTCTTCGGCTGGCTTTAAGATTAGGGCATTAAAAGGACACCAGCTCTAAAAGATGGGAGGGAAGTGTCGGCCTCCTTTTCGGGTGGTGGGGGACAGTCCTATTCTCCTCATTCACCTCTGAGCCCCCCGTGTGGAGTGGTCAGTAAAAAGCTTACATTGTAGTCAGTGTCCTTGACAAAACAGAGATAGATGGACTGTTCAAAGATGTCTGCCCCAAACCACTGAAGTGTAAGAACTATGAGGGATACGCTTCTATTTGGAAGATATTCATACATTTAAAAGGCCATCTCCCATTAAACACTCACTTCATTGATGTAATGAGATTTTCTAACGTGGGTTATTTTGAAGTTACAGAAGACTAAATTATTCGCTTTACCTTTCCTTCCTCGTCTCAGCATTTTTCTATGTAGTAATCATTTTCTTCCTATTTTCTTGACAGAGGAGGAGGGAAGGGACTTGAGCTGTATCGTAGCTTCTCTTGTTCAAGTGATGCTGGATCCGTATTTTCGGACGATTACTGGATTTCAGAGTCTGATCCAGAAGGAGTGGGTCATGGCCGGATATCAGTTCCTAGACAGATGCAACCACTTGAAGAGATCAGAGAAAGAGGTAACAGAGTCCCCATGCTTATTACCAGTCTGTGAATGTGACAAGATAAGCCTGGTGTCATGGTGTGAAGAGATGTTCTGTCTGGAAAGAGACGAGGTGGCTTTTTAAAATTGCACTTAGTACATCGTAGCTTCCTTAGTCTAATGGATTAGAGTCCAAATTGATGTACTTATGAAGATTACTGAAACCATATAGGCAGAAATCTGAAGAATTGTCTATTGAATTTCTCCAAGTTGAAAACTATTTGAAGAAATAATGCACTAACTCTTCTGCAAAGCAGATAGCCAGCACATTAGATATTTCTGAAAAATCATTTTGGAATATCACGTTTTCCTCAAATGAAGCGCATGTGTTAAGGATGGCAAGTTGGGGAGGGACAGCTCTGTGACATCTGTGGGGTAGTGGTTGCCTTGGGTCCACAATTAAGCTGTGAAAGGCCCTGCGCTATCTTACGGTTGGGTTGTTTCAGAGAGCGCAGCTTGGCCTGTGCTACCCTCAAGCGTAATAACGAAGATTATAATCTGAAGAAATCTCAGCAGTGAGTACTTTGCTTCTAAAATGCTCAGACTCCATGGGATGTGCTGGGGAGACGCAGTAGCTGTCATCAGCTGCTATGCTTGGGGATACAGCATGTGACCTGGCCAGGGGCTGAGGACAAGTGTTTTCTGAAACTCCAGAAGTTTCTGGAAGCTGAGCCTGCAAGGTCAACTAAAGGCTAATTACAGAAGTTGTTTTTTGGTTTTGGGTTTTGTTGTTCTAAAGAACTGTTTCTGGGATAGGCTTACACACATATTTTACTGTCCCCCATTCATATAATGACAGCCTGCTTGTCTGTTTACGTCTCCTCCGACTTCTCACGCTCCTTAGACGAGTCAGGGCTGTGACGTTTATCACGGGGGAACCCACTTTGTAGGTTTGACGTAAGCTACGTCTAATCTCCTCACATGTCCCGTCAGGAGCCAGGAGCTCTAGGCTTCCATGTTTCGCCATTAATCTCGTCCTTAATATCGGTGGCTGATTTGGAAGTCGATGCGAACACTGGAGGACACCGGGTCACTCCCTTTCCTCTGTGTCCTTGCCAGTCTCCCTTGTTCCTGCTGTTCCTGGACGCCACGTGGCAGCTGCTGGAGCAGCACCCAGCTGCCTTCGAGTTCTCCGAGACCTACCTGGCAGTGCTGGGCGACAGCACACACATATCCTTGTTCGGCACCTTTCTGTTCAACTCCCCTCACCAGCGTGTGAAGCAGAGCACAGTGAGTGACATGTGGCCGTGGCCACTTTGTTTTTATTCACAACTTTTTTTATTGGAGTTGAATTGAAGTACAGTTAGCTGCGTATTTAAAATACCTACAACTATTTCAGCTACCATTTTAAACGAATGACTGATTTTTCTGAATGAATTATTTAAAGACATAAAAATCCAGGAACCTGTTTCATTTTAATGAGTGAGTATTTTATGTATTTTTCTCTGATGTCCGTTGTTTATAATAAGCCAGTTTAAAGATATAAATCCTTTTAACACATTGTGGACCAGCAACGCAGATTTGTGTCTATACATTTAAATGCCCCGTCCTCAATGTGTTAACTTAAAGGTGCTCTTGTATGTATATTTTCATATTGGCTGTCCGGTGCATACTCAAAGCGGTCCTGTTTGAGGACATTCCCTCCCTAGGTCAGTAGGAAAAGACTACCGTATTTGCCGGCGTATAAGACGATTTTTTGGCNCTATCTGAAGTGTACCTGGCGTATAAGACGACCCCCCACTTGGAGGCATATTTTTCAGGGCCAAAAAATCGTCTTATACGCCGGCAAATACGGTATTTTGCTGCAAGAAGGAGGAGGACCGTGGCGCAGATTAGGGATGGGATGGAGACAGCGGCCTCCTAAGTTTTGTAAGCGGGACTCTCCTAGAAAGCTCTCCTGTAAGCATTGAGAAAATCCAGGTATTACGTAGGTTTCAGGAAGCTTCTTGTCATTTTTAGTCAAACTAAAACTAATGATCAGCTCTGTCTCCTTAGTTGTGTGTTTTATTTTTGTAAGACAGGGAACACTTATTCTGTAGAAAACTTTTAAATATATTTTAAACAGGAAGCTGACATGTACTTACTGGTTAATGGAATTTGCATCAGCCCACCCCAGACAGCACTAACTAGACACTGGCTAGCAACTAAACTTTCTTGCTTGCCCTCTGTCCAAAGTACATCATGCTGGCTTTATACTTTCCTTCTGAATGATACTGAATCTTTTTAAGAAGGATCTTCTGTTCTCTCCTTGTGTGTGTCTTAAATTTCTTCTTTCATCTTGGCTCATTCTAGAGTGTTCTCTCCCACCGTCTGGTCCAGGTCCTCGTAAGCACCTGGTAGAACACCACCCTTCCTTATCCAACAGCAGTGAGGATAATGAGAAGCGTATTTTCATGTATGGAGCTCCTCCAGAGGGCAGGCATGCATTCCGGTTGGTAATTCCTGCCACAGCCTTAGATATTTCACTTTACAGATGCGCAAACCGAGCCTCAGAGAAATGGCTTGACTTCTCACAGGTTACATGGCAGGTGCTTGGTAGAGAGCTAGGAGGCAAGACCTGATCTGTTCGATTCGAAAGCCCGCACTTTTCCCACCACAGGCATGGCGTCCAACCGTTTTACTTAAACACAGTTTTTTTGTTTTTGTTTTTTTATGTACCTCTTTGAGCCACCCATATGTTTTGGGGTTTCTTGCTAATTTTCATTTTTTCCAATTACAGATTTTCCATTAAGTTTAGATTTTTTAATCCAGGAGGTACGAACGTTAAAATTTCGTGCCTTACATTAAGCCTTCCAAATCGCTGGTCTTAAATTATTATAGTCCACTAACAATGAAGCTTCCCCCCCTCCCCGCCCCGAAGTAGATGGGTCACTGCCTTTTGGGAGAATTCTCCTTTAGTTTTCAAGTTTCACTTATTTGAGTAAAATTATTTTCCTGTTAAAATTCCATTCAGCAAACACTTACTGAATTCTTACCACTCACTCACTAAAGATGAAACAGTGTCTTGGGGGCAGACAGTGAGCGAGACATCTGGCCTTAGGCGCGCTTCCATGTTCGAGAGCAACAGAGAACATGTAAATAAGTATCGATAATCACTGCCCTATGCTGACGCTCCCCGTAACAAGGCCTTATTGTACATTTCATTTAACTAAGTGTGTTAAAATCAAATTCTAAATGTAGAATTTTTCCTAGGTATGCCTTGCAATAGCTCATTATTCCCAGCCAACAGACCTCCAGCTACTCTTTGCATTTGAATATGTTGGGAAAAAATACCACAATTCAGGTAAATATGAAAATATTAAATATTGTGACTAACTTTACATTGTGTAAATTTTATTCATGTTTATCAAGCCTCCAGCGACATGAGCGTCAATGATTGTAGAACTATTAGCTCCGGGCTGTTAGAGAAGTGAGCGCCATATACTAAAGGAGACAATATTTGTCAGATGATTTCTTACAAAGTGACCAGGAAGAACCTGTAAGCAGCTATAAATATAAACATAGGAATCATGCCAATATTTTACCTGCAGTCATTGGCGTTGTATTTTATGATGATGTAAGATACACCCTCCCCGCCTCCCACCCCCCTTTTAATTGGTAGCTTGAGTTAATCTTGTAAGAAAACGGGCAGAAAATTAAAACATATGTGAAATGCATGATCTTTTCTGGCAAAAGCTAAAGTCATTCAACTTTTTACTGGACTTCATTAAGGTAATCAAAGTATTGACTTTATATTTCTCAATAAGATTGATGAAAGGAAGATTAGCATTTGTCCAAAGAACAAGTATATTCCGGGTCGTTTTTATAAATGTGACGTAGTTCTGTCCACCTATCTGTGTCAGCAATGACATCACCAAGGAAAATTCCAGGCGCTCATGTAATTCTGTACATTCTTGTTATATACTAATATAACTTTAATCAACCATTTTTTTTAATCTTATAAAAAGATAGAGGGAAAACAAAGAGGTCACGTCTCATATTAGCCCCTTGTGGGTGAGTGACCGTACGTCAACGCGCTGATTGAGTCACATGTTCTCCCACTCTTTAAGGAAGAAAAATAAATCAGTTACATATTTATAATGAAATATGCATCCACCCCAGAATGGTCTGGATGGGGATCTTATAAATTATTAATTGTACTGGTCTGTTTCACTTTGTTACCTCAAAACATATGGTAGTAATTTAAATAATCTGTATAATAGAAGTATATTCCAGTATCACTATATTATAAGTACATTAAAATGTAGGAACAATACATAGTATATACATATGGGATAAGCACGTTTTCACTGCTTTAAAAGATATTTGTAAACACCATCGATGATACGCGAAAGCCATGCTTGACAGAACAAGTGGCTTTTTTCTTACGGCACTGTCGTTATAGAAATTGGATGACAAAGTATTTGTAACTTGCTTTTTCTTATCAAGATATAACTAATTGTAACCTAGCCTTGAGCAATGCAATAATTTTTAAGTTTATTTCTTAACATAAAGACAATGCACTTTCTGCCTGAACGTAAGCGTTGTGGGTCCTGCCCTCTTAGAGAGGCGAGCAGGCTTAGGCCCTGCTCGGCAGGGCTGCCATCAGTAGATGCTCGCCCAAATGGTAAGAGGAGCCAAAATGAAAGTTTCACACGATACAGGAGCTGTAGCCGAGAGTGTGAGTCCCACGTCAGTTTATGATGCAGACCAAGTCTCGATGTGCTTTCCTCTGATAGCAACGGTTCAGTCCAGGGCACAGCTCTGTGACTTCTGCACTAATGCAATAACTTGAGCTCAGTAAAAACAGGGAATTTCATTATGCTTTGGGAATGTGATGCCTGCCTCAGTCACTTTTCACAGTTTTCTTTATTCCTTGTGGGCATCTTTGGGTTAATAATAATTTAAATAGTTTATTCAACCCCTAGCTCTTCTTTTATTTTATTGGGGAATTGGGGGAAGAGGAACAGACATGTTGCTGTCGTTTTGTTCTTCAGTCTAGTTGTGGAGGACGTTGCTTCACTGGCCCAAGTTGGCACCATCATTGCGCTCTTCCCGGGCAGGG